ATCGATAATCAAAGGTCTTCAGAAATTATTTTTTCAAAACCCAAAAAAAGAGAAATATACATGTAATATAGTACATTTAACATAGAAGCATAAAAGCTCTGTAGCTTATAGTCAGGAAGCTTATAATACACATTAATAAGTACTGGTATACATATGTATCGTATATATCTTAAGCAGAAGCTGAAATATAAACACTTCATACCTGTTCCTCAGTTTTACCAGCCCCATCTTGACGATTTACAATTTCAGCAGCTGGAGAAAACGATTCAAGTTTAACATCCCAATGTTTCTTTTCTTTTGTTTTATCCCCTACACAGAAATCTCTTTGATAGCGTGACTTATCAATATCCTTTGATCCAAAATTAAGTCTTAAATCGGGAGCACCATGAGAAAGATCTTGTGTTTTAACACTGAAGTCATTTATATTCAATGATGGCTCATAATCAGGCACAGTATAGTCCAGGGTCAGATCTGAGGGTCGCTGATGATTGTTTGTGGAGTTATTCGTGTTCACATCTTCAGTAACAGAAGTGTTACTCGTCTGATACGATTGAAAAGAAATGTCGTCCGCACAAATTGAAGCACCGACGTCACTAGTCACTGATTCTAAATCGTCCATCACATCGAAAGGTTCTGTGTCATTGTTTTTATTATTCCTTTCATTATATCGAGTCTCTGTGACAGACGGTCTTGGTGTGCTTGTTACAAGGTCATGTGTATTATCAGAGTCTGCATGTTCATTTTGAATAATTTCCTCGGCCGTACGAAGAATATTTAGCGCTGATGAGGTTAGCATTCGCACAGACTTTGCAGATTTTTCCTGGAAAGAAATTAAGTTAAACTTTATAAAATAAATAGAAGACACATTCCTGTTTATACTCTATTAACATTTCATAGATCGATATGACTTGGCTTTTATATTAAATTTTATTTAAAACAAATACAGCATGATTATTTTCACATATAAAACAAAGTGAAATAAAACAGTGAGTGAAATGATTCCAAGCCCAAGCAGTATGAATGATTTATACAAAACCTTTACCAAACTGAGAAATGAAAATATATCCTGATTTTGGTGGTTTTAGAATTGTTTCTATTGTAACATGGACGTTTTTGAATGAAATGTGTTTACATGTGCAATGCTAGGTAGGAAATTTTACCCGGCATCTTCACCTACTCTTTCAACTGTTCTTTTATATACACACTTTCCTGGTCAGCCATAGAAGCACCACCCAAACTATTTCGGAAATTGTGCACAAATTAACTATATTATGATTTTTGGTAAAATGTATGGACTATGTAATAATTTTGGTTAAAATATAAAATAAATCTCAATTTTATTCATTTCAAAAGAATCATGAAAATTTGGATTATAATGAAGTTTTGGCTTTCAGAATCCTTTACATACATAGTTTCTTAGTCCTTGAACACGACAAGGTGTCAATTTCTTTTTATTCATGCATATTTATAGGTGGCGTAAATTTTGGTCCATCTTACCATGGCTTGATGATTAGCTACAGCTTCTAATATTGATGTATCGCCTAGTTTAATATCGATATTGTTGTTAGTAAAATCAGATGACGGAAAGTTAGTCTCCAGCCGATCTAGCTGATGATTCATTCTGTCTAGATGATGGTTTAAATAGCTGAACTGTTAGTAAAAACAATGAGCAATTACACATTAATACTGGACGAGGTTCGGTTTAAAATACCTGCTATAACCCCCTAACCTCCAAGCTGTGGGCCTATGAAATTCCAGGGAAATCTATACCATGCCCAAACATTTTTTTATCCAGACATTTAAGTGCAGATAATAAATTTCACTCACAAATAATGTTCGGTTAAACGTGAATCTGTTAGCGCTTCAAAATTGATTGTCATACACCTTTTACATGAGAATTGGATTGATGAGTGGAATTTCATAGTGTAACTTGGTGACAGATTATAATTGTGTTTGTATTCCTATGGATCAAAGTAATTCAGGACATAATCTTATAATTTATCCAAACCTGGATGACAGGGAGTGTTAAGAGGACATTTATACCAACCTTGTAGTGAACAATGAGTTAGTTCAAATGACTTATGAATTAAAAGAGATATAACATATACTAACTTAGACTGGTAACTTATTCTAGTTAGATATAATTATACAAAACTACCCTAGCGTAAATTGATAAACTTTCAAATTTCTTCGGTCCTACTGTAAAACTAAAGAAACCTGAACAAAACCTAAATTATGTTGAATTCTTGTGTTAAAATGTGATTAAACAAAATGAAATGTTAATTATAACAAGTGCAAAAAGCAGAGTATAAAATGACCGTTACCATGGTGAAATAAACAGAACAAAACAAACAGTATGAGATTATACCTCGTTGGCAGTTTCTAGCATCTCCTCAGCGACATATGACATGTCCTTTTTAGTGGCCAGCACTTTATCGCTAAGGTTACTGATACCGTTTTGGTACTTAGTGTTGATTGGTGTTTGTAGATCATGTGATTTGCTGCTATGCGAGTCTGGTGATAAGACAGGTGGTGTAGAAGGTGTGGTTGCCTGAGACTTCATTTCCTCGTCTGAAAAATACACAAGCCAATTAATCATTCCCATGAACTATAAAAATTAGTTTACCCCATTTCTGCATAGAAAAAGCCCAAAGTAAAACAAAACTTTTTTGTGTGTAAGTTAGGCTCAGTATCAGGATGTGGAATGTTCACACTGTTCAAAACCTGGATCCCCATAAAAAATAAGATTTCTGATTGGTCTCCATGGTAAAGAAGCAGCAAGATACCAAAGTATAGCACCTAAAGAGTTTTTGTATCCCAAAACCAATTCAATAAGAATATAAGACTTCTGATTGGTCTCCAAAATAATATAAGATATTTGATTGGTCTCCACAACACTGGAGTTATCAATGAGTTAATATGGAAGTTTTGTTTACCTGTTTTTGCTGGTTCGACTATAACTTGAGCTGTTGATTTAGCTTGACCTGCTATATTTCTAGCGATAACACTGTATTCTGCATCATCATCCATTGTAGCGTAATCAATAGTTAATATATAATCTCTATTACCAAACTTCTCTATAATAAACATAAATATAACGAATCAAATAAATGTAATCAGGGATTGACTGAGAAGGAGTCTGCGAGTTTGGTAGGCTCAGCACCCCTTAAAGAAGTTAATGTTTGTGGGATATCTGTTTTAGTTGGAGGGCCATTTCTATTCTTGAATTTACATCGTTTTTGATGAATTGATAAGATTACCATACTAAATATGTGCATAAGCCAGAAAAATCAAAATATATTCTAGAATTCACGATTTACATTGAGTTTTTCAAAACATTTTGGCTCCAATGGACTTATTGTCAATATAACTGGTGTGTCTACCCTATCTCATCCATAGCAATCATTGGTACTTAAAAAACATTAATTGGCGTTCAGCAAATGATAATTACCTATTCTGGCATTTCCTGGATTTTTAAAATGTTTGCCATCTTTATGCCATGTGACCCTTGGCTGTGGATAACCTTTGACCTTGCATCTGAACTTTACACTCTGACCTTCTTGAACTTCAACATCTTGAAGACCCTTAAGGAATTCTGGTTTCTTTAGTTCTTGTTTGTTACCTGAATGAATAAATCAATTTAAAACAGAGAATTTAACTTGAAGTCAATAACGTCTTCATTTAGAAAACATCAGATAACACAAATATTGAGATCTACATGAACAGCATCTTTTATGGATATATTTTCTTTGAGGGTTGGGATTCTGAAATGAAATGGTGGTTTAACATATTACTTTTCTGCACCAACTGGGCTAATGAAGACAGGCAACCACTATGTAGTGTGCTATGAGTGAAAATTTGCCTGGACAGTGGCGCTACAATAATCTCAGGACCTTTGTTTTTCGCCTGATCTGAACAATTAGATGGTGTTCCTTGCAATAATATCAACAGTAGATAATCTTTTGGCTTGGATTAAATCGGATTTAAGAAAAGCCCATCATAAGATTTTAACGAAGATTTAGTGCTGCCTTTTTTTGACCATATACCCTTTATATCATCTGCAGAGCACTGACCTAAATTATGCTCGAAGGTAGATATATATAGTTCAAAGAAACAAGTTACTATTTGAAGATGTTAAATTGCTCAGTGGCTTAAATGTGCAGAATCAATTTGTGCACACAAAAAGATTGGCCGCGTATTCCTTAAATAAATATCTTAGTCTAGCCCTAGCATTAGTCTATTCAGAACATACTGTGAAATTACATTTCAAACTGTGTTAAGCTTGTTTATTTACTTTACAGTTTCACCTAATTTCAATTAAAGACAGTTACTGTTACGTCATGTCTGCCTTTTAAAATGATTTAACAACACTGACTTTTGCAACAAATAACTTAGGCCAGACCAATCTAATTTTGAGTTCTTTGAGTAGTGATAAATGAATAGCCACTTGAGTCATGTGAAATCACACTGATCAGCAGCGAATTTTTCGCTAGGCTGCTACAATCACTGATAAGGATGACATCGATGCGACTTAATGAGCCAGAAATATTAACTTTTTTCCTGCGACAAATTAAATTCTAAAACATTTTTTTTATGTATAGGAAAAATAAATAAATCAAGGCGTTTGACGTATTTGTAGGTAAAAATTATTTCCTATTTAGTGTAAATGGGTATTAAAATGACTAAAAGGCAGCATTCCGCCCGAAGCAGTTATGCCTTATGTAAACAATGCATGCGCCATTCAGCCAATGATTGACGTCGCGTGCTGTGACGGCATGTGTTAAGGCAGTCATCTTTGACAGAGATATTACTCTAGACTCGTAATTCTCTGTGAAACAGATTGATGTGAAATAGGCTTTGTTTAAAATGCAAAAACTTACAAATTTGGATTTAGGACCTTTTTGTTTTTAAATTAGTCTTTTTGGCTGAAGAAATAGGAAGCAAAATGTCCCGAAGAACAGAAATTCAAATTGGTGTGGCCTTAGACCACTGATGAACTACTAACCTTTTACGGTGACAATAAAGTATTGGGTACATTTGTCCTGTTCGTTTAAAGCTATACACATATATTGACCAGCCTGCTCTTTTTTTAGATTAAACATGGTAATAGAATGTTTATCTCCATCACTTGTGAGCTCATAATCCTCAGAATCTTCTAGCTCTTCAACCTCATTACCTTCTCGATACCAAAATACATCTGAAAAACACATATGTCAAATATAAAATCTTTGAGGTCAAAAATGAATTCTTAATGTGAATATAAATGCAAGTTTTTATTTTTCATTTTTCATTTCAAAGATCATGCCTATATCCAGTAGAGAAATTTGATTTGTAAAAAAAAACAGCAGTTGTAAGGCAGGATACGCCCACATATTGCAAGAGATGGATAGAGAACAAGCTAAACAAAAAGTGACTTTTCGTACAATCAAGGGCTATAATTCAGGAAGTTACGATCTGATATGCACGACTATCGATAGGAACCAAGATCTTTAGGTTATAAATATATATGTCAAGTTTCAACAAAATCGGATCAACATTGTGACTTCTAGAGGGTCCGTAACCTTGACATACCATATATTTACACTATTTGCGTACTCAGTCGTCATTATGGTGTAACTGTGATATATTCAAACATTTTTTTAAATCGGATAATAATTGGGACCTCTAGAGGGACCACAAGCTAAAATCGTGATTTTTCGTACAATCATGCACAAATATTGAAAGGAACCAAGACCTTTGGGTTATAAACATGCATTTCAAGTTTCATCAAAATCAGATGAAAATTGTGACCTCTAGAGTGTCCACAAGCAAAAAACATGATTTTTTGTACAATCAGGGGCCATAATCCATGAAGTTATGGTCCGATATATGTCAATATCGAAAGGGAGATAGACCTATATATTTTAAGTTCTGTCAAAATCGAATAAAAATTGTGACCTGTGAGTGTCCACAAACAAATTGTGGACGTACAGACTGGTGCGACAACAATATAAATCGACATGAAAATGTGGGCCGATAAAAAAAGAGTGTGGTCCTGCACATATATTCTGAGACAATGCTTGAGAAGAGCATTATCTAATTATTTACCATGCCTAGGTTTCTGATTAGTTATCTTCACCCGGTCTGGTTACTTAGTCAATCATTACCAACTCATGGACCATAATTGCTACTTTCAGGAACCGACCAATGGTCACAGATATGTTAATTGTTATGTCTTATACAGTCACCTCAAGATTTCAACCTGCAATTTACCTGACTGAAATAAACTATACATGAGCAAAAACCGATGCCCATTTTATTGCGGTATAAACAAATACAAGTTTAATGGAAGTACGAAGTAAAAACTTAGAAAGATGTATCCACATACCCACATCTCCAGAGCCAGCAACTCGGCATGTTAATTTTAATGGTTCTCCTTCCTGAATGGTCACACTTTCTGGTGCCAACACAAACTTTGGATCATCATCTTTTGCTTTTATTAATTCCTCGGAAAAGTTTAACTTTGTTCTGGATTTATCAACAATAGGGCCAGACGTGTCGGTGGTATCTGAGTCAGATCTATATAAAGTTCTCTTAAAGTTATCAAAATCTGCAGAACTACGACTTTTCGTCTCTCCATCAGAGTCAGTATGTAAGGAGGCATTAGATAATTTCCTGGATATTCTAGCCAGTTCCTCGGATGTTTTGGCGTAAAATGAGTTTTCATCATCACTAATCTCCTCCTCCTCATTATCATCAGAGAAATCGGACAATTGATCAGCATCTCTGAAGTTAGAATAGAATTAAAATTTAGAATATAAAAAAGTAGAGGGAGAGGGCCCAAGGGAGAAGAGTTTTAATGTCTACTCAACACAAACTAGGTCATTCAGGACTATCATATGGTATATATATTTCTATATTTGTCTTGAGTAATAGCATCTTCAATAGAAGGCTTTATCTCGCTTTATCTACGTACATCTTATTAAGGCCATTGCGCAAAACCTTGCATAGTTCGGCACTAATTGCGACTGGGTATTCACACAGCTTGGGAGCCTATCAGATTCTTCGATCATCGCGAACACTCACGCTTTCAAGCTAAAATGTCTACCTGTGATAATCGAGTTGCACAGTTCAAATTCCTTCTCAATGTCAAGGTTTCCATGGAGGTAGCTATGTCACAACCTCAGATTGGACGCTACTTTTTACGTGTCTGCAGATAATGTAGCTATAATTGTTCGAGAATTGTAATGTAATCTAGCAACGTCCAGATGTTATAAAACTCGCAGTGGTTGCTTCAGGAACATGGAGCAATAGTTGCAGGGATCTTTAGTAACATGGGGAAACCACAAGGGTAGTCCTGGAGACCCTACTCCATGTCAAGTACATGCATGGAATTAAAACCGTACTACAAAATCGACAAGAGACCTTATGATTTAAATCGTGGTCTACTACCATCACCACAACCTGGTTTATTGAGACTAACAAAGATACTTTGTATGAAAAGGGTCACTGTTGTCAAAACCTCTCCAATATCCAACAAGATGTTAAAGTAGCTATACACTGGCGTCTGCAGATATTAATATTCTAAAACAGCTGGGATCACTTCTTAACATAAGACATATTTACTTCCTTTTCAATACATTCACATCATATGGTCCAATGATTTGAATATGTTTCAAACAAGTACAACTATTTCAATTAAATAGACGAATTGGCAGGAACACAGATCATATTCTATGTTTTAATAAATTCGAAGACAACTTACTCATTTCCTACTCTTGGTACCATCTCATCATCCGGCTGTGGTACCATCATAAATAATTCTCCATCTCCTCCAATCTTCTTCCCACAATTATCATATGGGGAAAGCACTGCTCCCCCCTTAATAATCCAATTATTCCTCCATTGTGTTTTATCTTCTTCATTTTTAGAGACTTTATCCAAATCTTCTTCGGTTTCTTCGGGAATAATCGCTAGATTCATGGATAACAGATCGGGATCCACCTCGTATGTACTAAAGTCTATATTTTCCAGGTCTGAAAAATCGGGAAGAGGTGGCTCTGCCCGTTGAACGCGCTCTAAACTAGAATAGCGGATTTCAAAGTCTTCTTTTTTCTCTGACCGTTCATAGTCTACCGAAGGCACGATAACTTCATCGATCTCAACCTTCTCATCTATCGAACGCACAGATGGTGTTCTACGTTTTTGAGTTTCGCGCACAAATTTTTTTAAATCCTCAAAATCTTTGGTGAGATCACTGGAATTATCGTCTATTTCACCCTCATCTTCCTCCAAACTATCATGAAGTGATTCCTGATCTTGTTTGTTATTAAATGACCTTCCATCGGTTACATCCGGTAAACTGGTACCATTTTCTTTTCTGTGGTTATCAAGGATCTGAAATGAATAATAATAAAAAAATTTTCAACATTTTTAAGACACTGCAGCAAGACCAGCAGCAATATCCACAGTATAAGAGTACAGCACCAAAACTATGTCAAAATGAGCAGCGAAATACTTCAAAGCAACATAACCCCCCCCCCCCACACACAAAATAACCATCTGAAGTACCGGTATGAACAGTATATCAGGATGAATACACGATTGTCAAACTCATAAACCTGCCACAAGTGAAGTGGTATCAGCTGTTCCTGGAAACAATGAATAATAAGCATTTCCTACAGGTGATCAACTTGAACATAACTAAAAGGTATAGTAAAATCCTCCATTTTGTTTATACTTTGAAAAACTATAATCTTGGTAGATTTGCGCTAAAATTTGTTAAAAGAGAAAATCAAGTGACTTTTTATACAATAATCTCTATTATGGAATCTAACAGTAATGTAAGCCTAGGCCTCCTCTAGAGTAGTGCAATTTTGACATGTAGTAAATAACTGCAAAAACAAAACTAGAACAAATGCTTCAAACACTACAGCAGAAACACAACAAGCACATTCCTGAAGAAGACAGAATATTTCGTTGGTAAAAAGCAATAAAGCCAATTTTTACAACAAAAAATATCTGTGAGTTGAATGATTGTGAACAGTCTTTTTCTTCCTTAGGCAATTCTAAGATGAAGGAGGCAAAAAGATAAATTCAAAGCAATGTGGGCTAAAGAATTTCAGCAGATTTTCAAGCAAATGTAAGATGTCACCTCCATTTTAAAAATAAGTTCAAAATTCATAGGATAACAGAAACACATGGCCTATTTAAAGATAAAAAAGCCAACATTTTTTGTACATACTTTACCAAATATAGAATCATGAAATAGTCGTGATAAGAACCTGTTATCCATGGTTTCAAAACAAGGCATCCGGACTATCGGACTAATGTCGGTGACTAGCTCCTCTTAACAAAGGTCCGATCAGAATAGCCATTCAACAGTGTCAAGATGCCACAAAACAAGAGCTAACAGACGGAATTGTTTTAGTTTGCTGCTAATATTTACCGCCATTTCTAAAGAGAGGTGTTCTGTGTAAACTTTAAGCTGTTAAATGGACAGTTTTTGTGTTAGAAGAGACACCAAAGGTATTGTTGTCATTGAAATTGAAAGGCAAGGTAAACTATTTTTACATTATGGAAGAGAAAATGTGATTGGATTTATAATAGTATTATGGTGGGTGTCATAGCAGTACCATTACATTTTCATTCTTGAAAGAAAAGTTTTAAATGAATATTGTTATTGCTACAAATAATTTTATTGACTACCATATCATTTTAAAAAGATGTTAGTGGATTGGTGATCTCTGGACAGACATTAACAATTTTTTTGGGATTAGACATGATCAGGATTGGTCATGAAAAATTTGAGACTAAGCTATAAATCGACCACCGGGATACCAACAATTCAATTTACGAATTGTAGCATTATTTAGTATCACAAAAGATTGCATGCCACAACATACGCCCACGCTTGGTAAGTTGTCTTATTAGTCCATAAAAATGTCAATTTTATAAATAAAAGGCAAACACTTTATCATATAATATGATTGGCAACATTATATAACATTATCAAGGGAAAGAACTCTATAAGTAATTAATAAAAATTGCTGAAATTGTTTGTTGGATGACAACCAGAAACTGTGGTTTGGCGATAACAATATATGTCAAGATTTAAATTATTACTAGTATTTCTAAGCTATCCGTATTATGATCTAAAGATGTTAAAGTATTCTATATAAAGCAGAAATCGTTATCACAGTACTATGTTTTCAAGCTCTTTTGACTTTTTTTCTAGTCATCAAAATGGTATTGAAAATATTAAAATAAAAACAAGATTATGTATTTAAGCTCCTCTAATCACTTTTATAGTTCCCAAAATAGTATAATATAATGATTTTAACTTTTGAAAATATTGAAATAAAAACAAAGTTATGTTAAATAAAATCAAATATTGTTGTTATTTTATTCTGTAAAGCTCTTTACATTTCTTTTAGTTCTGAAGATTATGATTTCAAATATATTATGATTATAAACCAGAAAATATTATTACTATGTTTCTAAAGCTCTTTACATTCTATACGTTTTTAATACTTACTTTAAGTACCACATAAAACAAACTGAACAAACAATTAAACAAACTTGTTGTACTAATTCGTGACCTCTCATCAAAAGATTTAAACCTGGGATACTAATTGTGGTAACAATTTAACCAGACGTCATTTAAACGGCCTGGGGCACAGAACTTTACAACCAGGAGATCATGCCCATTAGAATAACAAGAAAGGAAGAAGTCAGAATGAAGAAATTACATAAAGTTTATGTTGACATGACATGAAGGTTTGTCGAAAATCCAAAGAATTTTGATATGATTCATCTTTTAAATCCTTAAAAAACCTAATATCAACACTTTCTTACATTTAAAAGAGACATAACTGCATTTAAATCACATGGCTGCAATCAGAAACTTGTCTCAAATAGTATTCTCCCCTTTTAAATGACCAACTGACCAGATATTGTGATCTTTGAACAAAAATACAGCTTACAAACACTTGCATTTTTCATTTTGGACTTTACCTTGTATAGTATGTTCATAGAGAATAGAATCACGGATGGAATTTCAAATTTGAACAGAAATATTTTTTGCAGACTTGTGTTTCAACCTTGTGCATATGTTGAATTACACATAAGTCTTTACATAAAAATAGTAAATATTTTTAATTTTTGAAATATATATGAACAATAAAAGCTAATAAAAAGTTCAAATTTGATTAAACACCGCTGACATCTAAACTGTCTGACAAACAGCTGCTTTAATTATGTCACACAGGTTAATTAATTTTTCTTACCTGCCATTAACAATAAGAGTTACACCTGAATAATATATTCCAACAATTTAAAAAAATGTCAATATCTGTCAAATGACCTGAGGGTCACAGTGTACGCACAAAATCATCCTTATTGTCACCAATCATTCAAAAATTACTGTCAATTATCAAATCAATGAAATTTATCAAGCAGACACAAATCAAATGACCCTTTCTCAGGCCAATGGACACTAAGTGACCTTTCAGGATGTTCAGTTTGCTCTGGTATATACGTTCAACTAATCTAAACAAACTTGCTTTCAGTCCAGATACACACACATCAAAAGACGAGACTAAGATCCACTGCTAATAAAACACGATATCACTCTTAAACTGGTTTCACATTAAACAATACATCAGATATTATTGGTATATCACATGGTAATGGAGGACGGGCTCTGCAACTTTCTTGAATGTAAGTCAGGAATTACTTCATTCATTAAATCCCAAATATTTTCTAGAGAATACCTAATGACAAAATCAAGATAAACATAACTACTTACTTCAGCACCACTGAGAAATTATTCTCAAACTTTTAATCAAATACTTCTCTGAATATACTCAATTAAAAAATCAGTTTAAGGGAGGACAGGGTCAGCAACTTATTTCCATATGGATGTGTCATTTCAACTTATTTCCATATCGTTGTCATTTCAACTTGTATATCATTATCTAATAAGTTTCCACAAACACATTTCTGACCTTATTTAGAAATTAGTTCATATGCATTGAAATTTTTCTGGAGTTTACGGAATACTTTCATGAGTATAAAAGATCACAGAACCGTTTTTCAGCATCTTATATCATAATCAGTTTCAACCAACATACTCCTACATCATTCCATTTCAGACTTTTCTGGATTGTACGAAAATGACTGAATCTCCTTAAAATTTTCTATTACCACAATCATCATGGCTTCACTTATAACCACCCAACTTTTCCTCACTGGTTGAATCTGCACTCAAGAGAACAGATCAACTTGTATGTACTTAAGTCAATACGAAGCAAAGAGAAGCAATTAAAGTCAGTTTAAAAGTTTGGATTGTTTAAAGCTACTGTAACAATATCTACTGCAACTTTTTTCACCAAAGATAAACTTTGAATAGCTAAGACTAGATAATGGGCTTTGACATGACAATACCATGATTTAAACATGACTTTATTTATTCTGTGGCAATTACACAGTTTCTCCATCATTATATTCAACAAAACATCTTAAAATATTTACATTTGTGATGTGAACAATCTGCATATGACTTCAACACAAAATGCCAAGATTAATCTTTTTTGAGGGGGTCTTAAAACCATAATTCTACGAAGGGCAGCTCATGAATGATAACTACCGGTACAAATACAGATTTTCATTTGGTCAATTCATGGACCTTATAATACGTTATAAGGTCCATGGTCATTTATAAAAAGATTTAAGTATCTATCAATAAGGATTCAGAACTGTACATACCATAGGCTACCTCTTTTTCTGTAGGTTTAAATAAACTGTGTATAAAATCTTATTTCAAAAGTCTTAATAACATATTATAAAGGTCTATCTTGAAACCAGGAAATCGACACATAATAGCAATTTAACAACACAATTCTTGCACTCTTGAATAAATTTAATATTTCCTTGAAGAGTTCAAGCAAATGTGGGATGACATCATTCAGAATTTGCTTCAAAAGGCAAGTCAAGTGGCCACTTATTATTAAGAAAGGAAATAGAGACACCGACCTATATAGAGTTTTCATTAATATAACTAGTGTTCTTAATTGGATAACTTTTACAAGTCAATATCGGTTTGGCATTGCACATGCCCGACTCAGAAATCCACATCACTGGGATGATTCATATTAGTAATTAATTACGTGATTCCTTTTAATCAGTATCTACAAACAGAAAAATGTAGAACCGTGAAATGTGATAAAGATAGGTTGCCAGGTAATGAAATATACACCCACAGCAGCTAAGACATCCAAGCAGTTCACAAATGTTGTTATGTAATTATTCTTCTGTAGGTAATGGGGTCATTTAAGAAACACTAACTAAAGTCTCCACAAGATTTTTAACATGGATCATGGGTGATAACTCCAACAGTAATTATCGAAAATTGTTGAAAATCCATGGACGGATAGACAGGGCTGTCAACAAAATATGGTCACATGGGTACATTACAAAAAAACTAAAAAAAAAATGTCTCCCACATCAGACTTATTTGAAGAATTCTCTGAGAACTAGAATATTTTTTTTTTGTATGACCTAATATTTGTAACTCATCCTTAGCTTTAAAAACAAAAAGTTGCAACTCAATATTTGAACTAAGTTGATGCATGTGACTACTACTTTCAATTTTTCTTTAGAGAATCCAACAAGGGATTAAATTAGAATAAATCTTGAGTTGATCACAGAACGTAATTTAGCCCTGGTGCATACATGACTAAATGAAACTAACCTTTGATAAAACTGCCTGAGCTATGTGGTCCTCATATGAGTTGTGGTCGGCTCCAGATTCATCAGATAATGAGGACAGATCAGATACAGCTTCATCGGATGTCTGGAAAAAATTAAAAACATAATATTAATTCAATGACCTAATATAATTAATAACTGAAATAAAACAGAGCGGGATATATCAGCGCCCACTAATACACCCACCAGCACCATCTACGTTTGATTTCGTCATACGTCACTCAGTCGTGTGTGCTCAAAATGCTAACAGAAACTGGTTGACAATTAGAGATACCCTTGGTATTATATTAAAGACAGAAAAAGACAGAGTATTCTTCAAAACTAAATCTGATCAGAAAAAATTTCCACCTCAAAGTAAAACTAAGGAAAAGCATCACCTATTATTGAGAAGTTATGGATTTTTTTACAATTATTATTTTTGGCTTGTTTTACAGTACAAATGATGATTTTATGACAAAACAACTAGGTCCTTTTATAGAGGTTTTCTACAGAATTTTGAAATATGAAACAGACTCTTTCTCAACCCAATAAATTTTTTAAATAGAAGAGTCGAATTTTGAAGTAACTTACTTTTAATACAGTGTTCATCATCTTAGTCGTATTATCTTTTCTATATTGTTCTTAAATTTGAGTTTGTCAATTTTACCCACATTTTTTTGTTCTAATCTTCTTAATTATTATTTTTATGTTTTTAATCTGTTTTTGTTCCTGAATTAAATATATTACAGCTTATAATATGTGCAGCATTTTATTTTATTTACGATATTTTCGGCCTACTCTTATTTCCAATTCCAACTGTCAATGGTTCTTTTATATGTGGACGCCCAATGTGCGCCACTGACAAGGGGGGACAATTCCAGAAAATCCACATGAACTTTCTCAGCCAACCCCACGATCAAACATGTGATCATCCAGGCTAACGAGCCAATGACTTACTAATTGAGCCACCGCAGCTCCCACACAACAAAACACAGAAATGGCAGACCTATATATATATTCCAGGTAAACTAAGCAGATTTTAAGGGCCCCAGAATATATCATTAAATAGCAGTGGTGTTAAAGCAAAAGGAATGGTTGATCTGGGCTATCTTCTGACTAACTTTTTCAATATAAACTATTTTATCAATATTGTGAGCGAATGTTGTGGTGGGGAGTTGGAATAGGGACTCCAGTACATTGCCTTGCTCAGAGTCCTCAATTATTTAGCTCCAGGTCAGTTTGCACTATGTTTTGTTTAAATTTTAATATTTGTTTTTTAATTTGACAAAGAGACGCAATTGAAACAATAAATGTAACTTGTAAATATGTCAATATTTAGTCAATCTTGGTAAAATTTCCAAATAGATTGTGCAAAAAAAATGAACTTTTCTATCACTACATCAGGCAAGATAAACCATCTCTCACAAGAGGAATGAATACGTTATCCTTTGATCTAAACTAGACAAGTGTCACTTTCACTGAACGTTATGTATTATCACTTAATCTACCTCTTAATGATGGTAATCATACATGTGATGAAGTATGCTTAATCTTTGCAGACCACCATATACCACTTCTCGATTATCTTGAAAGTTCACAATTAGCATCTCTATTGAACTTCTATATTTGAATAGTATATTTACACTCCTTTTTAACACACCTGATGAATACCATAGATATACTATAGATAAATACTAGGTATATCAGATATGTAAAGATATACTGTTGATGATCATTATAAATATATTATGGTGTATACTATAGTTTCTATTATTGATATGTATATTCCATATCAGATAACAATAAAAACCACACCCTAGATCTTTATATTAATAGAGATACGTGTATATGAATAAAATACCCTGATCAACAATTGAGTCAATCTCATCATAAGGAACATCATTATGATTTTTTTTAAATCCACACTGACTGTATTGTATAAGACAACACCTCAACAAAACTTAGAATTTTAGAAATGATATAATGTTAGAAGAGCTAAACGGTGAAAGGTGCTATGATTGCATTTTTATTAAAATTATTTAAGATAAATTTGTATGTATCTATTAGTAAAAAATTAGATGCGTTGATATCAAGAAGTAAACATATCCTGTGTTAGTCCATGCCAAAACACTGGATGTAAACAGAAGCTATCATTTGGATTCAACTTGAAGTACCCATAATAAATCTCTTAGTTTTATCTTTCTTATAATATAAAAAATGAACTAAATCAAATATGGTTGTGTGAAATGTGCTACATTTGTAATAACTATATTTTAAAAATCGTCCGAATCTATCTATGAATGTATAATATTGGTACAAAAAAAACACAGTAAAACTTACCTTCCAACAACTTTATCACAAAGTGTCAAATCAAAAATAAGTACATATACATAAAAAACACACGTGTCACTATTTATGAAACGACATTCCGAAAAAAATAGAAATCACTAGGTGTTATATTTTTGGCAGTATCACACAAATTATTTAAGCCCCTCTATAGACAAAAATAAATCTAATCCATAGCGAAATAAATCTAATGCATAGTGAGTTAAATCCTGAATAATTAGCTCCAATCACACTGCTGTATATTGTATGTAAGTAAATAGGTACAGATAGTAAGTAATATACCTTTCACCCTCTTACTTAGTATCGCTGAACTTTGTATATATGTTATACCGACCCAGTATTTAAGAATGTATGACAACACTTGAAGGACATGTTTCGTTTGTCTATCACATCATGATCAAAATGTAAACAATTCGTGGCTGGCTGGTCCACAGATAGTAAATGTACGCCTTTAAGATGCTCTAACACCATTTCAAAAGATGTTTTCCATGCTATGATAACTTCATAGATCGTGGATAAATAGCGAGTCAATTAAAAAAGAACATTGGGTACCAGGATTTGACTTGCATGGTCGAACTCTCCGCTACTCGCTTATTATAACATTGGTGTATTAAATGACACATAGAAACTATTATAGTTGTTTTCTATTAACGCCTACGATTGCTCTTAAGAAAATTTATCTTCATAAATATATACTTCACAACTTGATACCTACATCCTATGGTTATCTTTATTCAAAATCATATTCTTAAACCATACAATATATAGTTTTTATATCCATACGCCTATACTTACTTATATGCAAACGTCATATATATGTCTTATGAAAATCATCAATGTCATATATTTGACACATAACTGGATGTAAATAAATTAAAGAGACATGTCGATCTTAGCTAAGGTCCTTAAATAAAGCTTTCTAACAAAAGTATATTAATTAAAGAAAGGATGATGAACCATATTATATTATGATAAATTACTTGGTCATTCCAGATTAACATGTGGTACAATTTTATTTCAATAAATCGTTTCTGTGTAGGGTCTTTAGGAGGAAACCGGGAGTAAACAGAGAAAACCCTTGAGGTAAGGCAGGTAACTCTATTCCTCGTCACAGATCTGAACTGCACGTGTAAGATCATTCGGTCACCCATCCTTACTTTGTAACTACATGTACTTCTAGATGCAATAAACTGTTACAAAAATATATTTCACTACTAATTGCATTAAAAAAAACAACAAATATTCACTGAGTTCAATTTTTTATGTCATGTATACTTTTTGAGATTTATGACAAGAGTTACACAAGTATTAAAATATCTTTTCATACTATCATTTAATATGCATCCATCCCATAATGTTAATATTGTGTTAAAATAGCTTATTCAATCAAGATTTGTTTGACAGCCTTTTTCACGTACATGTATTATGTGTATATTTCTTTATACTTATCAATTACATACATTTATAGCAATCCCGGCATTCTTCAAAGATGTCTTTTTTATACCCCAGTCTTCACATCCCTACATACATATTTATTATGTGAGTTTATACGTCGCTTAAATAACACTCAAACAGTTTTTAATCATAAGTAATTCACATTTTCACCTTAATTTCAAGCACTGATAATTCATTGTTGAAATTTCCTAGCAATTAAATAATGAAAGAAATTGGCAAGCCATCATTTTCCCAAGTCATCGAGAGCAAAAATAATGAATCAGAAAGATAAAGATCGGTATGAAAGAATCGTAATGTAGTCAACCATGACAATATAATTGTTCTTATTTGGTCTGATGGTCATCTGGCTGGCTAATAGAATATACCTGTACTTTAGGTAGCTACTTTAATACGGATGACGGATGAATAAATCTACATGTAGTTTTATCCTTGTAACTAACATCTACAAGATATAGTAAATATTAATTTGACTTCAATTATCAGATTGTGAGTGAGTTACATATTTGTAATTTATACTAATTATAAGTTAAATTCAAAGGTTGATGTTTGCTTTATTGAATTTAAACACACAGTTATTTATCATTAAGATGTCCTTACCTCCTTTTTTTCAATTAATGATATATTTAACATATTAAAATAACAATTTCTACTTTGCTGTCAGAAATGTTAACATTAAAACAAGCCAACAGTGAGATTGATGTCCCCCGCCGCAATCACAAAATAAATAGATGACAATTTTACCTTTTTGCAAACTATCCAGCAATCAAACTGACAATCTATAAGCTTACTTAGTCCAAGCAGAAAATGTTCCAGATCGAATTCAGTCAAGATTTTGAAGTACCTGGTAGTGAAATTATACACTGAGTATCATCACTCTCCATCAGTTAGAATAAAAGTAATCTTGTCCCAAAGCCTAATAGACACCTACACCAAGTTTGTATATTCTAGCTCAATAAGAAGGAGAGTATTGTATTCAGAAATTTCGACCAATCAAATTGCCTATAGTTCTGCTTACCCTGAGCAGGAAATTCTCATTAGCGAACTTAGTCAAGGTATTGATATAATGGAACTATACACCAAGTTTCATCACTCTCATTTAATTAGAACTTAAGTTATCGTGTCCCAATGCATCAATCAATCAAATAACTTGTCTCTGCTTAGCCTAAGCATAAAATGCTCATCTTTGAACTCCATAAAAACCTACAAGTTTGAACATTCTAGCTCAATTAGAAGGAGAGTGATTGTGTCTCACAGATCAATTTTAATAGTCCCCTGCAGTCCCGGGAATAATTTCCCTCGTAGCACAAAGCATATATGTATATAGCATATGCCTGTCAGACTAGATGTGGACCTTTAGGACTAGTATCGTGAAAATGATATATGGGTTTATTTCAGTGAGCAGGTAACTCAGATAATATTGACATATATAACAGGCATATCAGAATTCTCATTTCCTTGTGAAACTTAACAGTTATATTCTCTCAATAAATATTATTCCTTTGCATTTTTGCCAATTGGCAACCACTGTCAAATAGTTCAAAGTAATTTTCAAAATAGAAGAATATCTGATTAAGGTATATCAACCCCATAATCTTTTGCAATAAGCTTTATGGAGGAAATGTTTTTGACATAATTTTACCATCCAAAGACGAGGTTCAAATAAAGAGGGAATAACTATATAACTAAACACTCAGTAGTTGCATTTCTGAAATAAGGTGTAAAATCTTTCAGTTCATTAAATGAAAATTGTTGTCTTTTAATATCATTAACAACTAAACCAACAAATACCGATTGCAAGTGAACTTTTGAGTCTAAAGAGGGAGGCTATAAGCACTTACATGCTGCCTTTGATCAATGTAACATAATAACAAATTTTTAGACTTATATACAATCCTATTACCAGTATTTTTTTCTTGTAAAATATATCAGCGTGCAAGCAGAGAATATTTTTATAAATAGAATGCAAGCACTGTTTTTAAGTCAGAAACTTGTAATTATAACTGATAGGAATGCAGCATTATTACACTAATTACAGTTATAAGAAAAACCAACATTAGGTCACTTTTTGGAGCAAGGCTGTTAAGATCACCTTGAATCATTTTAATGTTATTTCATAAATGCCATTCAATAATGCTATTTATTTACTTTTAATTCTTTAATTAACCTATTTCAAATACAGTAAATTATAAATCTGATAGAAATTAAAAGTAACTTACCAAGAAATTATTTAAAAATATCAATAACTACAAAAACTATGTGGGTTGAAGAAATCCTAGCTAAAAATTACCTCTAAAAACAGTTCGTTCGTTCGAAAGATTTACTCATTTTATTTACTTTTGTGACTTGGTCGACTAAGGGGTTTAGGTATTTGTATACTTGTTAGTTTGGCAATGTTTGAGATGGTAAACGAAAGGTTGAAACGGGCGTTCCTAACAGATGTGCGTGATAGGTGATTTGCATAGGAAATGACGACAGACTACTAGGAGTAAACTACAGCACGCTTGATTCTCAATACGTCAACATTGCTTCCGTCAAGCTAAAGGTGAAAGACTACCACTTATAGTTAAAATACTGGATCGGAATGCGGAGAATGTTTGGGACGCTTTGCTTGTGGCTAATTGTTTGTTTGTTTTGTTTGTGTATGTTGTGAATGGTTGTTATGTAATAGGCTTTAGTTAAATACAAGTATTACAGATACCGTCTGATATAATATCAAAGACAAATGCAAGCCAGTTTGAGATGGCAACAAAAAAAAAATGTCAAGAATCCGAGACAAAATCTCCCCCAGAACTCTGCCAAAGAAAAGGCCATTGTTTCTTAATAAAGATAAAGCATGTGGAATGAATGCGGTTGTATGTTTAAAATGTGTTACAGTTGCAAAAAATGGCGACCAAGGTAAAATATTTGAATCCATTTAATCCAGTGCCTTAAGAATTTCTCTTGAGCCTATGACTGAGATGGAAATAATAAACAATATTGAAATAGAGGAAGTAAACCATTTCCACTGCAAAAGTTTTCATAATATGATTACCAGATCTTGTGTTTCTATCTGAACCGTATTTTATAAATTTCATTGAAATTTTTACAAATTCTGGAAACACGTTTGACTTTTCCATTAATTTTGAATTTGTTTTAACTTAACTGCTAGCATTACCAACATAAGTACATCAAATAAAACCACAGAATTCACGGCATTCAAACACAAATATGAACAGAAAAAAGAATGTATATTAGAAACGTCTCCCATCTGTTTGATAAACAAAAGTAGAGACAGTGTTGTTGCCATGTCAACAAGAGAAGATAAATATAAAAGTTATGCTTACTTTACTCACCAGATCAAGAGATTCACCAAAAAGATCTTCGACCAACTTGGAAATATTCTGACGAACTTTTTGACAGACAGCTTCCTCTGTTTGGGGAGTATCGAAACCTGAAAATCAGGAAGAAACCATTGAAACATTTATTTCTAAGGAATATTTTGTCTAGAGCTATCCCTTTAACTGTCATCTGATTGAATGGAAGGAATTGTTTGTTGTGGTGTGTCAAATCAACATCTGCGATATACATACCAGAATCGGACTATTGCTTTGTTTTTATTATTAAATCAACCTTAACTAAAAAGTTTACTTGGTTTCATAAGAGAATTTTGAGAGATTTTTCATTTGGTCTTTGATAACACAGTAAAATGTAGCTTTTGGGGTTTTTTTTATGATCATTGCTTGATTATCAAGCTTAATAAATCACCCCTGACAAACAGCATATATCTTTTATTTTAAAGTATTAAAATTACTTACTTTCATAAGCTAACTGTAACCGCTGAGAGAGATTTTTCAACTGATCTTTTACTCGACTTCTAAATGTTGTCATCTCCTCCCCATCTAAAAATAAATTAATATCAAATTAATAGGAAATTGTTCAAAGGCATGCCAGCCCAATTAAACACATAAATTAAATCATTGTTTCCTGGGTTAGATTACTAGATACAAGGAAATGATTGTATTACTTGTTTGCCAAACTAAAGCACAGTAAAGGGGGATAACTCCAACTCCAAAGCAATAATTAAAGATCTATTGCAGATATTGGTTTTAGATTGTAATTCTGTAATATACCATTAACTTAAAACTTAAATTGTTTTACACTACTTTTTTGATGGATTAAAGCCATTTGGATGTGCCATTTATCAAAACTATATCTATATTTCTCACAGATAGTTAAATAGTATTTATCAAAAGTTCAAAACTTACAGGAAGTGCTGCCGAAGTTGGTGCGAGCATTGGCCGATTTCTCCAATGATTTATGGAAGTCATTTATAAGCCTGTCAAACTTTGTCTTGAATTTAATTTCTTCTGCCCTTTTAGCACTTTCAAACGCTTCTTTGTAAATATCTGAAGAGATAAAAAAAAGGAATCTTTTTTATTCCAATTCCAATAAAACATCATTTTTAAAAAATAAAAGTGAATGAGAGAGAAATTCTTTTTAAGTCGATTCAATTCTCACTAGGTCCTGAGAACTGACATTTCAATAAATGTCCTACGCTCACATTTATAGGTCGAAGTACCCAGAGAAAACCCCACAATTTGTCATGTACAAACCCAAACCCATGACAAACACAGATAACCAGTGCTTATAATCTACAATGAACACATCCTGTTCCATTTTCAGACACCTAACCCGGACATGACCGCTGTTTCTCTGCCTAAAAAAATTGCTATTCATCAATATTAAAAATCAAATTAGGCCATACAAATAAACTAAATAAATGTATTTTGATTTAATTGGGTAACCCAGAAAACATTGGGTTTCCACCTTCAATTACAATTAAAAGAATCCACAAAACATTTTATATCAAGGGAAATAACCTTTGACAACTCTGTGTTACATCAACCTATTTTAAAGTCTTCATTTAAGATATATTTGCTAGAATAGCTATCCTCTGTAACTATATAACTTGTGATGAGGTTTAACAAGCTAGAAAAGTTACCATAATTAACTAACTTGTGATGGGTTTTAACAAACAGAAAAGCTACCATACGCAACTAACATTTTGACTGGTTCAATACAAACACAATTATATCACATTAACGTCATTTATCAAGAGTCCATCTTCAGTAGCCCATTTAATACAGCAAAACTGGATGTTAAACCTCACTTTATTTTCATTTCTATCAATGACAATGCATTGCTAATATATCATTTTCTCTATGAAAGAGGCTGTGCTGTGACCTTTCAACAACTAAAGTCTTTTTAAGTTCCATCATTCAGTGGATTTTAAAAAAAAAATTTTTGTTATCTTTAATCATTGAAAGTGAGGAATTTGACATTTCCGTACAGACATATATATAATCAATAATGTAAATCAGGTATATATTTGTGATTGTTGTTTGTCTGTTTGACGGCTATAATAGGGCTGTCCCAAGATGGTAATTTGGGATACAAAAAGGGTATTGCACTACCACTTTTGGAGTGTTATACTAATTCTTGTTCTGGACTCTACCACTGCAAATGAGAGAGAGAAACAGGGTTAAACATCCACTCAACACAAACTAGGTCATTTCGGGACTAACACATGGTTCAATTTTTCTTTCAATAATTCGCTTGCACGTAGGTGTCTTTAGCAGTCGGAGGAAACCGGAGGACCTGGAGAAAACCCACGAGGTTGAACAGGCGACCCTACTCGGTGTCACATACAACCGGGAAATCAAATCCACACCACCAGTTGACTCAATGACAGACCTAATGATACAGCACGTGTACGTGTTAACCATTCTGTTCTAAAGTTAACAGGAAGTAAAAGGGATAAAATATATTTATATCATATATAACGTACACTACAAAATTTGTGTATTATTTGTTGTTCTTATACATGACAAATTATTAACATGATCAAGCTATAAAGGTTACTATATAATGTACGCTTTTAGGTCTATATAATCTAATTCAATTACCGCATTTAGCAATTATAAGAAGCATTATCACTTTGGATAACTTCACTTTTGGGCAACATCAGACAATTTTTACATTGTATGTAAAACATAAGAAAAATCTACCCTTATATCCTTGAGATACAGTCACCATAACTTTTTATGAGTTGCATCAATTTGTTTAAGGAGTTTTCGATGGTGTATTGAAAATTGATAAAAATTAACAGTTCCTTGATTTTCAGAAATTGGGTCTATGTTTATTTTGAATATATTATTAAAAACAACTACATTTATTTTCTGGTTGAGAGCAATAATGCCTGTCTTTTAATTTTTTTAAATGTACGGATTATAAATTGTAAAAAATTTCATCTATCAAATATTTTCCCCCTCTTTTTTTTTAAAGATATACCATCTTTAGTTTCACAACTACAGTCATTTGACATGTTGCTGTACGTAAATCATATCTCTTTAGAGGTCATTAATATGAATTATTTGATAGATGACAATCTTGTATTTACTATTACTTACACTGATTCATAAACAGTCAAAGATCAGTAAATAATGGACACACAATATTAAATGATAGAATAAATATGAATGAAATGGAAACCCATACAAAACAAAATAATATTTCAAGAGAAAGCTGTACGAGACAAGCCTATGGTGACAAGATCATACTAGGCCACTAAATGTCATCAAAATATGTGCTTGACTCCGACAGTAACCAGCCATAAGAAGCACTTAAAGAATATCAAAATACTTTACCTAACTCTTGATATTCCACTATAACACAAGGCGTAAAAAAAAGTCAAAATAGTTCTGCAGAAAAGCCGCCCAATAATGAGACAATTAGCTGGTGAAAATGGCACATGAATTCATCTTGACATTTTGTCTGTGAACACTATCGGGTCCGTTTGTGTGTTGACAGACGGTGATGACTTGGTGTGTTATGGTACAGTCTTCACATAAATAAACAGACGGCTTTGATGTTCCCAAAAGTGTAATAACATGGGCTGTGTAACACAGACAGCAAAAACAAACCTTGAGACCGACATCTAAATAAGCATGGTCCGTGGCTGTAACCTGATAAATTATTGTCACATCCGCCATGCTAGTAAATAGATCGTTAATACCTATACACTGACAATTGTTGTCATGTTTGTGTCTTAAATAAAGGACACTGATCACATAGTTTCTGATCGACAATTTTAATTCATTACGTAGTTTAGTGTTTGGTTTCTCAAACTGTTCCAACATTACCAAACAGTTAAAGGGTGACCTACAGTAGGCGCTGAATTATGCAATAAACCATATATATATATAAAAAAAAAAAAATATGTCCAGGTAAACAAATCAATTTCGTTATGAAATACACCAAATCGTCTACACAATGTACTTATCGAATTCATTACAGACTATCTAACAAAAAAATGGAACAACCACTTTGATAGAGGTGTTGATTTAATTAAATTGTCCTATATTCGTTAATTTTATTTTGATGTAAACAATTTGTGCATAACATAAATAGAAAGTTAAAATTATATTTAGAAAATGCTCAATGTAAATACACTGGCCAATGACGTCACATCTGAAATTATTTTTGCCAAACACCTAAGCTCTCACACTTCTGTAATTTTGTCATTAAATAAGTAAAGTTATCAAGACTAAGATTGCACAATAAGTAATATTGAAGCAGAAACAATCAATCAAATCACAAATCAGTTATTTTTGACCCCCTTGATCTTGAGGCTAAAACCAATAAACAAGATCAGGTGATAAAGGAGAAAATAATTATATAGAAGTAAAACTCACCCTTAACTAAATATATTAAATGGCCTTTGATATTAGAAAATTAACCAAAGACATCTAAAAACAGAGAATTATAACCAAAGAAACTGTGCTTATTCCCTCGGCCATCTTACATAATGGTGGTCTGCCATTAACAGAAATAACCAAACAAGAGTTTATAAATATTTAATCCAATATAAAGCCAATCTCAAATTCGATAATCAACTTGAAATGAAAAATCAATCATATTGTGTTAGGTTATTGACATAACGTACAATGTAATATATTTAATTGGAATTGTGTTATAGTAATTTAATTAGAGAGTATATGAAAAACTCAAACTCTACATCAGAAAAAAATAATGACTTCAAAAACTCATTTCACTAATTAATTACCTTTTGTTTAATTTGAGACTAACTTTAACAATTTGATGTAGAGGGTCAAGAACTCAAAAAATACAAAATAAGCTGACATAGCAATAAACATTATTCCATTCAGTTCTGAAGCAATAAGAAACTGTTCATAACTGATGAAGATGGTTGGAGAATGGGTATACATGTATGTCCAACAGAATTACTACAACATCAACTGTCATCTCTAAAGAACATATAATCACCGTAATCTTAATACAACATGTTTAATATGTATATATGATAATTCTTTAGATGCATTTAGTAAATGGATAGAGCAATAAAATATAACACATACTTATGGAAGAACAATAATTAATAATCTATTTGGGTTATTAAAACATTTCGTATAGTATTGTCTTAACATTTTCAAGCCAGTACAGTATGTAACATATACTATTCAAAAAAAGTAGGGGATATTTGATTTTTAAGTGTTATTAAAGTCACCTAATGAAACTGACGAAGAAACAAATGACAAAATGAAATGAAGTTCACATTCATCGATTTATTCCAAATGATCGTTAGACTAAGTAAGGCACAGACTGACCATTATAAGGGTAAAATGATACCCGGGGTCAAACAGCAAAGTTACCACAGCATCACAACCAAGTCAGTAACGGGTAAATCCTCCTCTGTTTGCCAAACAAGCATTGATCCGACGTGGCATACTCCTAATGAGACGTCTAAGGTCATTTTGGTCCAGATTGTCCCATTCCTGTTGCAATGCAGCAGCAAGTTCTTGGACATTGGCAGGACGTTGTTGACGTTGACGTAACCTCTGTCCAAGCATGTCCCAGACATGCTCGATGGGGGAGAGGTCGGGACTCAGTGCTGGCCATGGTAATGTGGTGATGTTCTGTTGTTGGAGGTAACCTGTAACGATCCTGGCCCTGTGACATCTTGCGTTGTCATCCTGGAAGATGAAATGGCGGCCATGACATCGTGCGAACGGCACAACATGGACTGCCAAGATGTTGTCCCGGTAGTACTGGCCTGTAACACGCCCTGCAACAACATGTAAAGCCGTTCTTCCAGCAACAGTGATGCCTCCCCACACCATAACAGAACCACCCCCAAATCGATCATGTCTGATGACGTTAACGTCTTGGAAGCGCTCGTTTCGACGACGCCAAACCCTTCTACGTCTGTCCAAAAAATCAACAGTGAACCTTGACTCATCTGAAAACATCACATTGCTCCAGCGTCGATTATCCAAGTGTTGACGATCCCTACACCAACGACGTCTTGTCTGAATGTGATGATCTCTCAAACAAGGGATCACGCGAGGACGTCGGGCGCGAAGGTGACCCCTATGCAGTCGATTCCGAATCGTCTGGCCACTCACTCTCACACCAGTGTCTGTTTGAAGACGAGCGCTGATCTGATTTGCTGTGATGACACGATTTCTCAAGGCCAAGGTACGGATAAATCGATCCTGGGCTTGAGTTGTCGCCCTTGGTCGACCTGAGCGTGGTCTGTCCTGTACAGATTGTGTATCACGGTATCTGGACCATAGCCTGCTTATGACAGACTGAGAAACATTCATCGTCCGCGCCACAACCGCCTGTGTTGTGCCGATCTGTAGCATGCCAAGGGCACGTAACCTTTCATTTTGGGTAAGCCGACGCATATCAAAATTTGTTTTCTGGTCACTAAAACAATTAAACTGATGTTTCCACCCTGGAATTCAATGCCACAATGACTGTAACATTCAAAGTCAGAGTCATGCAAATCTTGGGTTGGACCCCCATGATGATCCCAAGCATCACCTGCATTCCATGCGGTAGCTATTGGTGCGTTTGGGCGTCACATGTAACTGGAAATGTTTCTTCTGTTAGGTTCTATAGTGACTTTTTTCGTAGTCATTTGCATATTTTAGTATTATGCCCCCAAAATCAAATATCCCCTACTTTTTTTGAATAGTATATACATGTCAATTATAGAAAATCAGTAACAACAAATTAGAAATCAACCCAAATAAATCAGTGTGCTATGAGGGAAATTTTCTTGGCCAAGATTGGGATCAAACTCCTATCAAGAAGGGATAATTTAAACAGTATTTAGAACAAACTATTGGTGTCCGAATGAACTAGAAAAACTTTGAGAGTTTGCATTAGATTTTCAACTATTCAACAAAAGTGGAAGTTAATCAAGATTTACAAATATTGTGGTCTCTCACATTTCTGATATATAGGTCAATGTATAAATTAAAAAATAAAGAGTGATAAAATCAATGTTGAACATGAGGCTTGAGGGCACAGAATGACTTAAAACACCTGTGTTTAGTTTATGACAGATTTATTAAAGGTGTCACCATTTGTACTATATTTATCATAACATATATAGGTGAGTGGGGCAACTGGTGGACATGCAGTTACGACACACAGGTATATATTCTGACAAGCTATCAACAAAAAAATTAATAATTTTTCATGCTCAAGAATTTAAATTATATGCAAATTTTTTAAGCTGACTGGTTTATTACTCTTAAACTTTTGGATTTAAAAATGGGGTTCAACTGCATTTAACAAATTACCAAATGTGGCTAATGGAGATCATGGGATCTTTAACATGCAACCAATGGTAAAACAGGACCTCAGTTTTTAGTCTCATCTCAACGGTGAAGATGTTTTTCATTGCCAGGCTCTCCACCCTGCACCACTGATAAGGCAAAACCAAACTGGCAAATCCTGAGGAACTTTGTTGGACAACCCTAAGATCAAAACCTGATCCTCTTGGTTAGTAAAGCCAGAGAAATAAACAAGGATTTTTTGCTCATGTAAACTTATTTGTGAGCTTTGTGAATTGGTATTGAGTATTCTAGAAAGAGTAGGCATAACCTGACTAGTGCACAACATACATCACTCATATTGCTAATATCAGCGATAGCATGGATTTCAAAATAACCCCGGAACAAGGCCAGCAGATGAGTAATGAAATACAAAAAGAAATATTACATTCTATTTTGCAACGTTTTTCCGCTGTCAAAATCCTAAAAAGCAGACTTAACCTGAAATATATTCACATCCATGCATGCTCTACATTATCTAAATAATCATCTCTATACACGTCATAAGGCAGGTATTTCATTTGAGTCTCACAGCATCCATTTTTAAAGTTGACCAGAATTTTTAATTAACTTATTGCATGATGGTGAATAAATTGAATGAAATAAAAGCTTAAATAGATCAGTTTACATCACGCTATAGAATATATATCAACCATTTTGAATGGTGTGAGGTAAGTGGGTTATTATGCTAATGGAAAGGCAAAGAATGAGGGTAATTGCCACGTCAACACAATACTTGGAGGCTAACATATCAAGGTTTTATGAAACTTTTTCCTTGGCAGCAGCATTTCAGCCTAGTTATCCTTGAAGCTCAGTGCCAAGGGATTCCGTATATACCTCAGCCACGCAAGCATATAGCACAGACAAGATAGAAAAGTGGTTGAAAAGTTCTGAATATTTTTTATGACCCATGGTGAGATCTTAAACCAGGACATTCTATGTTATATGCTGAGTCAATAGCCCAGCATGAATACTTTGTCCCCTATATTTATGTTTAAGGAAAGGGTGTTTATATCTATCGCTTTCATCTCTTACATTTATGCAATATTATGTTAAAGATGAGGAAGGGTGTTTAAATCTTTCATATATAAAATATTATGTTAATGGCAAGGAAGGATGTTTAAATCTCTTACATTAATAATACCAATAAAATGTTCAATAAAAGTTGTTCAAACTCTGAACAGACAATCAAATAACTGTAAAATCTGTGTAATAACCTATCAATATCCTCTTGTAATCCTAGTCTAATCTCTAAATATGAATCCAATAGAGAGAGAGAGAAATGGGTTTAAAGTCCACTTAATACAAACTAGGTCATTTCAGGACAAACACATGGAATCCAATAGAATTATATTTTATGTCTTTTTGAGAGTAACACCTTTTTTTCTATGAAGGATGACTTAAAGTACAAAAGAGAAGTGAATCCCAAAAATATTGATTAACTGTGGCATGAATTTGTGTAATATTTTAGTACTAAAGTACTATTGTGTATTCCAATGACATCTTAGAGATTAAACAACGATAATATGGAAATAATGCATGTACAACAGAAGGACTTCATTTTACAGGCATCAAATTCTGCTCATAATTGATTAATCAGTCATAGATCGTCAAACTTTCACCAAGAATACTAATTACATATGTGAACTTCACATAATTAAGACAGAAAGAATAAGCTCTATACAGGCTAAACATACCAAAAGTTGGTACATTGGATTTTTTGGCATAGGGCAGAAGGTCTTACCTCTTGTGTCTTTGGATTTTCTGTTTTTAATATTATCGCCTTGTTCCTTCGATTTTTTCCCCTCATACTGAAATTTTGATTTACGCTCTTTGCTGCTGGGTAGAAGAGTTTCTAACGAGGTAGCCCTGGATACTGGTTTTATTAGAGATTCTGTGGACGGTAATGGCAGTTCTGAAAAATACATGGAAAAAAAAAAATTAATTTCAAGCATAAATGAATAGTTTACGAAAATATATAACTAAACAACTGTCTTGAAACAAGGTCCTGGAGGTCGCGTGTTCAATCCCTACATTGTCCGAGAAAGTTCATCAGGATTTTCAGACATGGTTCCCCCCTTTTCAGTGGTGTAGGATGGAGGGACTGACAAGGACAGCCGTCTAAGTCATTCAGATGGGACGAAAAACTGAGGTCCCGTGTATACATTGCCGTGCACGTAAAAGATGGAATCCAGTATAAGAGTAGGCCATAGTGCTGCTGCTCAGGCAACATTCCCCTCTGTATGGCGTAGTAGGAGCAGAACAGTAAGACGTTAAACCCTATTTTTGAAACAAGAACAATTTTAAAAAAATAGGACTTTGGGTAAGATTCCTCTCTGAAATGGAGAAATGAAATGAAATTTTGTACATCATCTATTTTGTCTGCTGCACCCGGGCTAATTAAGACCAGCCCTGCAGCATGCTATGATAGGAAATTTTAAATGTCAGAAGATCTTTAGGATGCTGCCAATAGTGTGTATGGGAACCGTTTTTTTTTTCTTCTCATCAAAATGTTTTTCCTGCACCTCTGGCAAGGGGTAAAAGGGAACCCAGAATCGAACATCCTGGTTAAACGGATCATTTGGCCAAATCATTCAACCGAATGAATCAACACCGAATTGCAGCCGAATTCATTTTGCTGAATGAGTGGACAAGCTTGGCAAATCCTTCGCGTGACTTCTCGATATGATTGGCGATTGGCTAATGAATTCTACAATAGGCCGAATAATTGATTCGGTGGGTCTGCTTTAGTGAGCCAACGCCATACTGACTGATGAGCCACCTTGAAACTGGAGTGATTTCTCTAATTTAAGTATGTAATAAAACAATCATTATTTATTTCCCTAACAAAGAGTTGTGTCAATATTCTTATACATTGCGCAGCATAATGCTAAATATATTAATTTAAAAAAAAAAAAAAAAAAAATATCCATTTATTTAAAGATACATTATGGGAGATATTTATAGAGAGTTGGACATTCTTGCTATAACAGTTCAAAAGTAGATGATGAAAGAAGAATATATTGATAAATTAAGTCAAATTACTTTATTCTGAACATAGTTATCATCGTTGTAATATTTGCCTAGAAATGGTAGCGAAATGTGTCTTCACCTTCGCCGAACGTTTGATTGACAGGCGTTAACTCCGCCTACATATCTTGATTATCAAGTAAAGTTTTCAATGGCATACGGAAACGCTTTACAGCGGCCTCGCTAAGTACACTCTATCATTTAGCCTCGATCTAACTGACGTATTTTCATCAGGTTACCCCTTATCTGATTTAATCAATTAGTGAAATCCTATTTAAATCCGAGCTGTAGCCGAGCCATCCGTGGGTCTACAGAGTTCATTTTGGTCTTGTTGTTTAAATAAAGATCTAATTTATAATTTCTATAACATCTGAAGCCTAAATTAAGACTTGCAATAATCAGATTTAGCTCTTGCATAATGCATGTTTAAAAAAAAAAATAAAAAAAATATCCATTTATTTTTTAAGCATGGACAATGTACGTTTAAAGAAATACCATTTAAAGTTGTATTTTGATATACACATGGAAAAATATTTTAGCAATGTTCTCTATCTACATGACAATAAAGAATTGTTTACTACAAAAAACATAACGTTGAAATATTTCAAGAGAATGAAAGTTTTATTGTCAAATATGCCAATGTACAGGTGTTATTTTCTGAAACTGATTCAATTAATTGCCATTTGGGTTGTTGTATTGTATGTGGTCAAGGTCTCATTACAGTGCTAACCTATGTGACAGTTACTAACTTACAAAAAAATAATAACATTCTCTCTTTATACTGTGACAATATTCACATTGTTTGTGAGCTGAGAAAAAATTGCAATAGCCAGACCGAAGGGTAAATTAATAGGCTTGTGTAGTAGTTTAAACAAGCTTGTAGATATATATGCTTAAATCTATATTAATAATTCTATATTCAGATAGGTTTTACACTGGTTGACAGATGTGATTTTCTACAAATATTTATTCAAAACTATACTGGGGGTCAGAGCAAGAAGAAAGATTTTTTATATTAGTTAAAAGAATATCAACAGAAGATATAGCGATAGACATAATATTAAGATTAGGCAGTTTCTTCATAGTTTAAATATAGGGGAAAATGCAAAAACACTTTCATTTTTCAAAGAGGCACTGGTTTATTTAATATCATTCAAAAAGATCACAGCTGATTTTTTAATATTTAGAAATAATAAATGAAATGATATATTAAATAAAATACTTGTACATCTAATTATGTTTTACGAAATCTGTAGTAATGTTCAATGGTTTAAATGCTCAGTATGATTGAAAGCCAGTTTGATAAAGGAGCTTTTTCAGACTATAAATTTTAAAGTGTAAATCTAACCAATATTCAGCATTGATAATGGGGGGGGGGGGGGGCTGGAGGGGGGACGTTCACAAAATATTGTGATGCTTTTTAAAGACATTAACAAGCAAATAAAGAATTATATATATTTACATTACATAAAAAATGAACAACAAAATGACAATCTTTTTATCGAAATGACAAATATTTTTCTGTTCAATCTTTACTCTTAGAATTCCTACATCTCTCCGCATTCTTATCACCTTGCGGGACAAGTGAGAATAAATATTGATATATATCTCATCTATAGTAAAGCCCATGTAAGTTTCTTTTTCTTAAGTCTGTTTGCTTTACAGATAAGAGGGGGATAGTATCATCTCTCTAATATCATCACACCTGATGAAAGCAATGTAAATTCTTTTGATAAACTTATACCTTGAAGGATCGGTTTTAAAATTATTATGAACATCTAGACAAGGTTAAATTTATCAATGAAATTTTTCAACATCTAAATTTGGTTGTTTATCAATTGCAATTTACCAGGTAATATTCTGAGATATCTAATTCTATAATTATGCATTTTGCTACATCTTAATATATAATAATTAAAGTCCCATTAATTGTTATTCATCTTCTTATATTAACTCAATAAAATAAGTACATGTAGCTTCATATTAATTACACAAATGTAAATTATAATTTCAAACTGTTATCTTCATGTTACAATTATTGTAAATTGTTATTAGTCGTATGGGAGATATGTTTTGTTTTTAAAGAAAAATGTTATACAGCCTTTCGTAAATAGATGTATATGCTGTATTTTAAATTCAATAATTATAGTTTTATGTTAATAATTACTTAAATCGGACTAATTATTATTAATTAAACTGTATATCTTTATGTTATAATTGTTATACTTATATGTTATAGACATTATTTTTCATTGAAAGAAAAGTGTTACATTTTGTTATTACAAATGTAATGAATACATGTTATCCATGTATTTCATTTGGTTACTTTTTAAAAAATAAACAGATTTCAAGAAGAAACCAAATTCTATTTTGTTTAAAAGTGAGGTTAGTTAAAATAAAATATGGAAAAGAAATCTAACTATATTACGTTATGAATAATTTGATTATTATCTAAAATATTGTTCTTAATATTATCAGACTGACTTACCATTCCCTAAACCTGTAAAACAGTAAATATAAACACATTAAACTATACAGAAAATACACAGATCTCAATAAACAGGATATGGGGATAAGGTAGCCGGGTGGATATGATATTGGGGGTATATACTACACTCTCAATCTTTTGATTGCTAAAATGATGTCAACTAATATGTACCGTTTCCCTTTAAAAATTTATATTCTCTTTAAATACACAATGTCTAATGCAAATATAGATGTTTTTACGATTTCATATCATGTACCTGCATTAGTTAATTACCACAAGGACATCCTTAATGGCTTATAGTACAAACTATTAAGAACTGATATATGATGACATTTAACTCTATAAGGAGATAAAAATAATCTCTTAATGGCTATTACATACAGTTAAAATCAATTTAACTAAGCTTTCCTCTTTTACATAGTATTTCCCGCAAGGTGTCAAATAAATACTATACATAAAAAGACTCTTTTATTACTTCTATGTGTCCTCGTATATCTAATCTAAGACATACGGTAGCCATCATTAATTAACTAATTAACTAGCTCTTGTTATCTTTACTTGACTTCTTCTCACTTCTGTTCAGCTATTAATCACCTGATTAAACAGGACCATTAGCTTTTAAGATTACTACTTGGCAGAAAAAGATTTAAAGGTATAGTGATACTAGCATGAAAATATTAAGAACAGCTATCACAGCAGTATTTTTTATAATGTGTAGGTCCAGTTATAAACACTTAAGTACAATATGGTTGTACTTAGTAAAACTTACAATTTGTGCATGCTTTGTGAAATAAGACCTTGAACTGTGTAATGGAACCAAATACAAAGTAGAACCATCAAAGATACAAAATAGAACAAGAGGAGAAAAATCTTATTGCTTCTTCCTTTGCAATACAGACAGCAAAAGATTATATTTTCACATAGAGCTTTCTCATTTAATCTCTGCTTCAAATTTTTGAATCTGAAAAACTAAGACTTATTGTCGTCGACTACCAACATGGCAGCAACCCTCTCAGTACAATCCACAAGACATTCGGCTAAACATTAATGAAATTTATACACAGGCCTATCAGATCATGGATAATGTACTTGATCAGTTGCCCACTTTAAGACCACCATAAACTTGCATTAAGCAATTTCTAATGGTGGAAAGATACCTCTTAAGAGGCAAATTGGATCATTGATAATGCCAGAGTGACATTTATAATGTTAGAATTTGAGACGTGACCACACCAATGTATATATACATATTGCTATAGCTGGTCATTCTGGTAGGTGGTCAGTTTGTCTCGCTTGGCCTTTCTGTTTGAAGACTAAGAGCAAACACGCCAAGCAGTGACCAAACAAATGGTCAAGTATATTTGCACTGCCAGATCGTGAAAAGCAAACAGACAAAT